GATGGTGATGCTGTCACAAGACTCGGCTGCTGCTGTCTGCATAGATACAGCACACAACAGTCACACAAGAATGTCAAAGGATGTGGTTACAGACTCATGTGTCTGTATGTGTGTGTGTGTAGAGCTTCCTTGTGGCCAAAAACCAATTCGTTCAAATTTAAAATTAAAAAAAAAAAACAGCAAGAGACTCAGTCACTCACACACACAAAGACAATTTTCATTGATTATATATTGATGGCTTACGAATGAATGGGTAGACGACAGTAAGCCAGCCAGCCAAGCAGCCAAAAAGTAAAGGCAAGGAAGAGGAAGAGTGAAGAAAGAGCAAACCAAGGAAGATAAGCTTTTGTCAATGTCTCTGACTTAAGTTTATGCTTTGGCAATTTTTATTTTTATTGTTTTGGGGTTTTCTTTTTTTCAAGCAGAAATGCCACAAGACAGCAAACAAGAAAGTAAAGAAGCATTGATGAGAGAAGAGGGGGGAAAAGGAGGAGAGTAGGGAAAGAAGAGAATTAGTAGACGAAAGAAAAAAATATATGGAGTTACGTTTTAACTGCAACTAACCGCCAAACAATTGAAATGTCATTGCACACAACAAACAACCACCCACCCACCTTCTTTCTTTCTTCGTAATTTTTTTTACAGAATAAATTTTCGTTTTCATTTTTTAATTTTTGTTTTCTGTTGTTCTTCATCTCCTTGTTGATTTTTTTTCCTTTTGGAATGTAATTGAATTTCCATGTTAATCAAACGCATTATCCTGCCATCAAATATAAATCTACCCGCCAAAAAAGAAACGGAATACCATCATGTTCGAACTTAAAGGAATTCCTTTCTTTATTTTTTCTTCTTCTTCTTCTTGTGGTAGAATTTCTCAATTTATGATTTTTCTTTCTTGTTTTTGTATTTTTATATATATGTATTGGAAAAAAACCACCATTAAAGCATCCCATAATCAATTGAATTGTGTAAAAAGAAGATTTCACAATCAAATTATCGAACATAAGTTGAGTTGATGATTTACATTTTAAATTTCAGAATTTCATTTGAAATACTTTTTGGGAATGAAGGGAGAGAGGGGTAAAGGATTTTCAATATAAGATGATGATCAACAAGAAACATGTGAATAAAAAATTATTTTTGGCATAGAAAAGAAATAACGAAAAGGGGTTTTTTAGTATTGAATAAGGATCTGGAAATTTTGTAATGAGGAGACATTTCAATATAGAACTAGATGATCTTTAAGCCATATTAGGGTATATATGATACGACGAATATGTTCCCCCATTACAATATTTCAGCAAATAAGGCGGAGGGTATAAAAATCTCTTAAAAATTGTAATCGATATAAATAGGTGCGTTCAATTGACTTACAAAGGCTATCATAGGGAGTAACGGATTTGATCCAAAATCATTCATACATATTGTAATATTTTTTTTTCAACTTAGACCAAGTCCGAACATATGAGATATCGGTATACTCCTACCTGTACCTCCCTCAAAAAATTGTCAACAATTTATGGAAAAGAATATTTATATGCAAAATAAGCATCCCAATTTATCTTCATATGTCTTCCAATCTTCCAATCTTATGTCTGAAAATCGATGTATAACCCAAATTGTTAATTTGGGTATATAATCCAAATTGGTGGTCACTTTTAATAAAGATGTAGATTTGGTATTTTCAGGGACCCGTTATGAAATTCAATGTTGAATATTTTTGCCTTTCATACTTTTCTTCTAGCGTGTGTCACTTTTCCGACAAAATAAAACAAAAAATTTTTAATTTTTTGAAAGCTTCAAAATATTAATGATAATTTCCTAGATATATATTATATTTGAAAAGTTTGCTTGTTCGGAACATACATGAAATGTTGTGTAGAATATTTCATACTTAGTCAGCAAACCTCCGGAGGACCGAAATTAGTGAATAATACAAGAAAACCCAAATTTGACTCAATTTCCTTATATCAAACTTCGTTCTGGCGTTTTTGGATATATATTGGTTCTAGAGATTTTTCTTGTTTGAAGACTTTTGATTCGATGAGAATAAACTTCTTCTTTATTTCTAGTCGGTTCAAATGTTATTTTGCGTATATATTTGACAATTTAAAAATAAAATTTAAAAAAAAAATGCGAAAATACCACAAAAAAAATTTTATTTTTATACCCAAATTGGAGGTCCCTCTTAATTGATATATAGCAGAGCTACACCTTTCGTTTGTTGGGAGGCCCCGCATAAAATGCAAAGCTGAATGTCTTTCCCATTAACAATTTTCTCCTTAGTTGAAGAATTTTGTCAGAAAATAGCTGGAATTCAAAGAATATGCGAAATTTTCACAATTTTTTAATGTACCCAAATATATAGAATTTTTTTAAAGACTTATGGTGAAATTTGGTGCAGTATATATATATATATTTATATATATATATTTTTTTTTTTTTTTGCATATGTCATATCGATTCGATATTTTCCCTATTCATATTCGATGAGGATTAAATTCTTCTTTGACTCTACTCGGTTGAAGTTTTAAACTAAAAACAATAGGAAAATACCTCAAAAAATATTTTTTTTATACCAAAATTGAAGGTCACTTTTAATTGATGTAAAACAGAGCTACAACATTCGTTTGTTCGAAGACCTTGGATAAAATTTAAAGCTGAATATTTTTCCCATTAATAGTTTTCTTCTAACATGAATAATTTTGTCAAAATATAGCTTGAGTTCGGAAAATGTTGGAATTTTAAATGTATATTAAAATTGTTTATATACTCAAATTGGTAGGAAATTTTTGTGTCTATCTATCGAATATATCAATTTTGTTTGTTCGGAGATTAATTGTGAAATTTTGCGTAGCTTATTTTTTCCCTTGCCACCAAATGGTTAAATTCTCAATTTCTAGAAGAAAATTGTAAAAACTTAAAAACATCGAAAAAACAATATTTTTTATTTTATTTATTTTTTTATCGATTTCACAAGTTGGGATGACATTTTATAGATAACTGTTGGCCTTAGATATTTCAACTACCTCCGAACTTCTAATAAAATTATAGAGTATATCCATTTTTATCTACAGACCGCAAATCACAAGTTTTCTAGGGGTATGGTTCATACATTTTGAAAATCGAAAATTTCCCAAATATTCAAAGTTTGCCTGGTGACTTTTTAACGAATTTAGAATTTCCGCTTCCGATTTACTTAAGTAGTTATAATATAATTCGATATGCTATGTTACTTTTACTTGTTTCGAGATTTCGATTTTTTCTATTGATGCTAAATGATGATAAAATTTATGGTAGAAGTGGTTTCAAAATTAAACAGAACAAAAAATGGATCTTTTAGGTACTTCCAACATCTTAATGTTATATTTGATCCAGAGATATCACCTAATGGGGACTTCAAGTAAAAATCGATGACGAACATATCCTTATTTAACTCTATCTCGCTTTGGATATATTTCCCACACATTTTAAAAACTCTTACTAAAAATTTTTCATATGAAATTTTAAAAAAATATTCCATTTTCTAATTCCCAAATATTTTTGAAAGCAAAAATGTTTAAGCTGTCTGCCTGCCAGACATAAAGAAAGGCAACATATGAAATATTCTTATTTGACCTTTTATTCTAGGAAACGAACATAAAGATTGCGGGGTGTGGTGAGGTAATTTTTTGCTAATCATACGTAAACATTTAGTATTTTAATCCATTTTCTTTATATATTTCTTTGATGTGCTTAAAACGCTAACAAAAAAGGATTTTGTTGCAAATAAATTTGCAGGATTATTGCACACACATACACATTTCAAATTTCATGGCACATGAAATTTTACGATAATTACTTGCTTTCATTTATTGTGATGAAATTCGAAATGAATCAGAGTGGCTGGGTCTTTAAGTATTAAAATTATATTTTTTTAATCAACCAAAAAATGTTTATATTAACAAGAGGTTGAGGAGGAAGTATCCTAGTGGGAATAATTATTGAGGGGCCGATGATCGAAATTTCACTTTGTCCACCATTCAACATTCATTAGTACTGGTAGCTATAAAATTTTCTGAACAAGGATCAAGTAAAACGGTAGAAAAGGACGATAAAACATAACAGTGCCGATTAGTCGTCTTCAGAGACCCCATCAACGAGAATTTAATATGATTTTTATTTCATTTTTTTAAATTATTTGGTGGTCAAAAAATATCGTCTTGCCGTATTTACTTTAAGTTCGGGCCCAAGGACCCGAGATAGAAAGATGAAATGTTTTACAAAAATATTCCCTATTCGATTTGACTGAAGACATGTCATATCAAAAATGACCTGCAATATCTTTAAAGCATATATAATGCCTCCTCTTAATGAGCTTTAGAGTGGGAGTTTAATATATTCTCAAGGGCTTTTCCACCCAAATAATTCAGATAGAGAAAATTACTTAGAATCTATCTTAATGTTTTTCTTACTAAAATATTTTCTTATCAAAGAAAGGTCATTATTTTCCTAAGACTTCCAAAGTCAATGGTCAGACCTCAAGATATGTAAAAAATTGCAAAATAGAGTTTTTCCATTTATTGTCTGCTGAGTTTGGAAACTTCATTTGAAACAAGAAGACAAACAAATAGAAACTCTTTCATTGTCTACTAAGTTTATCAGGACTTTGTTTGCGTTGCAACTTTTTCAAAAAACAAAAAAAAAAATGTTGTTAATCAAATGAAGACCAACAACTCATAAAATGACAAGAATCCCTTTTTTGGTTTGTTTTATTTTTGGTAAACATGTTAACGACAGAGACGACAAGTCATAAAATGGCCACAATCCTTTTTTGTGTGTGTATGGTTCAATGACATAACAACATAGTTAAAAGTTATAAAAATTGTAAAAAAAAACTTTTCAAGAAATTTGGTTAACCAAAATTTTCAACAACAAAGAAACCCTTAAAATGGCGCCCAACTGCAATATTTAACTTTAAAATTTAATTATGAAAATAGAAATAAAATGTTCTCACTTACCAATTTGTGGCACATCATATTGCCTTTGTCCACGCGCTGAGCGTAACATTAACTGATTGGCCAGACTGTGGGGTGAGGATACAGCTGCTGCAGCAGCAGCGGCGGCTGCTGACATGCCAGCTGTGCCGCCACCACCACCACCTGAACGTTTGTGATTTGGATGTAACAGCTGATCGGGTTTTTGTTGTTCACCAATGGCTGATACAATGTTGTTGTTCGAGGTTCCGGAGCTGTTGCTGCTGCTGGATTTTTCTGTTTTATTCTGCTTGTTGTTGTTGCTGCCGCTGTGATTATCCATTTGATTTGTGTCCTTGAATTCATTTAGATGAGGATTGATTTTACTGGTTGCAGTGGCCTCGGAATTGGCCAGCGAGAATTTATGAGTCGATTGGACGGCCTTAAAATAGTGCGGCTGCTGCTGCTTGTTCTTTTGGCCGAAAATGTTACGCTGCAATTGTGGTTGTTGCATTTGAGCACGTTTGCGTTGCCATTTTTGTTGCAAGCGTATGTTGTTGGCATATTTGGTGTTGTATTGTTGAGCATGTTGTTGCTGCTGCGAGGCATGATGTTTTTGTTGCTGCTGCTGTTGATGTTGTTCTTTTTCCAGAAATTCCTGCAAAGTCTGAGGCAAGGCCTCCATTTGTGGCTCCTGACTTTGATAGCCATAGGGATTTTGTGCATGATGCTGCTGCTGTCGGAAACCAGGAAATTGAGGAACATTGTGATGTTGTTGCTGTTGCTGCTGATGATGCTGTTGCATCCGCTCTTTATTTTCCTCAGCCATGAGATCCTCCAAATAGGCATAGCCATCCAAATCGGGGAAAGCATCCTCCTCATCGGCCATTTGTTCCAATTCCATGAATTCATCCAAATCCAAATTGTGGGGATTTTCAAATTCCCTTTCGGCGGGTTGTACCACCCGACCATATTCGTATTTGGTGGGACGTCGACCCAACGGTTCATAGCTCAACTCATCCTCATAGTCCTCCTCGTTCATGAGCGGTGGAGCGGGCTGTTTGACCACACTGCCGAACATGACATTGCGGGCCTGTTGATTCAGCCAATTGGAATACTCCGAGTCCATGTCATCGACCGGATGCATTTTAATGCGTCCCGTTATGACGGGACGGCCATGATAGCCCGACTCCTCGGCTGTTTGTTTGGCCAAACCAATGGCCATCAAACGTTCCCGTTCACGTTGGGCCAAATCGGCCAGTTCCTCGTTGATGCGATTGCTGGAACTGTGAAAGGAGGACGAGGAGGGATTTTTCATTTGGCCACCCGAATTGAGGTGGGACGAGGAACTATGGCCGCCATTGAGGGAGGACGAGGCGGAGGCAAGATTGTTGTTGTTACCGCTTAGACTGCCACCGCTGCTGCTGCTGCCACCGCCACCACCACCATTGGAGCCCGTTAGGTGTAGGGCATAGAGGCCACCATTGACCAGCAGCACACAGACCAGTGTCTGTATCAGTGAGAAAAACATTTTCCTTTTGTTAAGGCTTTTACAGTAGTCACTGATGATGGGCGGTATTTTCAACACTTTTAAACTTTGACTATGTGTTAACGTAATCTTGATGCGATTTCCTGGTACTGCCAAGTTGGGAGAAAAATTGTCCGAAGTATGAGGGGGGAGGAGGGGGAGAAATTGATTTTCTTTTCTGTGTGTTTTCAGGGAATTTTTCTCAGGAAAAATAAAAAAATTGATTAATATTCCTGCAGCTTAGTATAGAGTCAGGGAGGAATTGTTCATAATGTAAATCGATTCGGTAGGAAAGGTCTTATTTTTTTTGGCAATTCTCTAGCGTAGCTTGCCAATACACCTTGTTTGTTTCCTGTTTATGGGTTCCGCTCTGTTCTGTTCTGCTTTCTTTATTTTATTCTATTTTTTTTCTTCCTTCTATTTTCCAGGATAATTTGATATTTTGCCAAGAATCTGCTTAGCTTGGCTGGGTGTATGTATGCCGGAGTGTGTGTGGGTATGGGTGTATGTGCGTTTGTTATGATTCCCTTTCTACCTTTTTTGTTTTTCTGCTTCTCGCTTTTGGCTTTAAGGCTTTTCCACCTTGTTGGTATGTATGGCTGTCTGTCTATCAGACTTGAGGAGCTTAGGTGTCTGTCTGTCTCCTGGCCAGGGAAACAACAACAACGACGACGAAAAACAAAGTTCACTAAACAAACACCCAGAAGTTTGTTGTTGTTGTCGTTTTTCCTTTTGTTTTTGGCTTGTTGCTTCCGTTCCGTTTGGATTTTTTCGTTCGTTCGTGCCTCTTCTTCTGTCTTTCTCTATGTTCGGTGGTAAGGGTATAAAGAACTTCTTTTGCTGCTACTGATGGCTTTACGGTCTTCAGCTATTCCTCCTGATGTTTATGTTGCAGCTTTTTTTCTTGTCTGCTGCTTCTTCTTCGTTTTTGGTTTCTTTGTTAGTTTTTTTTTCTCGGGGGGAAAATCCGGGGAGGGTTAGAAGAAGTTAGTTAGTTTCGGAATATGTAAACTGTTTCCTTTTGTTGTTCTTGTTGTTGTTGTTGAGCAGTCTTCAGTTCAGCCCCCTTCTACTTGCGTATACAGTTTTACCTTTCTGTTATTTTTGTTGTTGTTGTCTTTGCTAGTTCTGCTTATGCGGATTGTTGTTAATAATGATGACGCTGTCGATGGTTATATGTCTAGCAAAGTCTAGAGGAGCTAAGCAAGTACTTTTTTTCCTTATATACAAATATCTATGTATGTATGGTTGTATGTAGATGTGTGTAAATATATATATATAGTATGAGTTGCAGTGTCTTTGTTTTTTTCCGGGTTCCTGGTTTATTTTTTCTTGTAATGACTGACCGGCTGTTGGATTTTTTTCTTTTCTATTTTTGCTTCTGGTCAATAGCTTTCAAAACTATTGTCTGCTTTGAGCCGGCTAGGGGGTTTCTTCTTCTTTTTGTCTAGCACCAAATTTATTTTATTTATCCTTTAAGGCTTTAATTTAATTCTGTATGCCGACGGAATGTTTAATAAAAATTGTTTTCAGCTTTATTTTTTTATTTTTATTTAAGGAACTTTATTTATTTTTTTAATTAATAATATTTAAAAAAAGCAACTGGTGCTTTAGCGATTTATTTCTTTTTTTAGTTTGAAAATAAATATTATAGTTTTAAATTACACAAACACTTTTTTTTCAAATTTACACCAAAATAAGAATTTTCTTAAAATTTTTATTTCAAATAAAATTTTTAAAACTTTTTGTCTTGTATACTAATTTTTTAAAACTTCTTTTTTCACTAAAGGTCTTAATGCGGCCTTTTTTATTTTATTTGAATTTATTTTTATTTATTTTTTGGTGCCTTTACCAGGAACTGTGTTAAGTGTTGGGGAATATTTTTCTAACTGTAAACACTTGTTTTCGTCTTGCCGTATTTAGGCCAACTTGCTTCCCCGTTATTTGCTGCTTGGCTTTGGCTTTCTTTCAACAAACACTTGTGATTTGTTTTGCACTATTCTTAGGTTATGCTTTTAAACTTTACTTCTTCTTTATTTATTTTTCACAAATCTTATTTTTCTTACAATTTTCTTTTTTCTTCTTCGTTTTCTCACTTTTAAATATTCTTAATATTTTTTTCCTTTCTTTAAAAACTTCTTTGGAATTTATTTTGAAAATAATTTTATATTTCTTCTTTTTTTAGATTTTTTAATAACACAACAATTTTGTTGTCCTTCCTATCATATGAACCGACGAGCAAGGACTCGTCGTCTCAGCAGGTTTCGCCTGTTTGTCTACTGTTAGAAATGCTCGCATTCGCTTAAGTGCTGCTACTAATGCTGCTGCTGCGCCTAACACAACTGATATATGTTAAATGGCTCTGATGGCTGGCTAGCACCCATACATAATATTACACTCCATTACGAACAGAACGAACTCTGAGCTCAGTGGCTGTCGCTCTTAAGTTGTAACTCTTCGCTGCTCTTAACAACACCGTAATGTGTAAATGATGGTATTAGTTTCGTTCATTCGAAAAACTTCGTACGTTTTGTCATTCGTATACGATATATGACTAAAATATTTCTGTGTGTAGCCGTAGCAGAGTGCCTGGCTAAATGATGACGACGACGACAACACAACGATGATAATTCTCAGGCAGGCACAGGCAAGCACACAAAACCGCTTTACTTCAATTCCATTCAGCTCAACCACTTGTTTTGCACATTGCCAACACATTCGTAAAAGAACATTGAATGGAACAGCCAAGAACAACAACAAACATCACACAACCTCTTCTGTTTCACACTGAAATAACGTCACACACAATTCATAATCATGCTCTCTTTCCCAACTCTCTCTTTCCGTTACACCATGCCAGAGAAAAAGAGAATGTGAAACGCTCTTTGCACAGATTTGCAGTCCAACACACGAAATGCCCGAAAAAAACAACACACACACTTAGTAGACCGCCCGCCGCCCTTTTGTTTGTATTCAACAGCCCATATGTTTTTCTTCTCAACTCCCCTGGCTCTTCATTCCATCACCCAGCCTGCCAGCCAGTCAGTCATTTAGCCTGCTGCCTTGCCTTAACTAAACAGTTATACTAAGAAAATGTGGTCTGGTTTACACACGCATTGTGTCACACACTCTCACACACACGCACACAGAAGGCAGGCCACAGCAGCAACTCGGCTCAGCGCCGGCAATAGTCATCGGCAGTCATGTAGTTGTTGTTGCTTGTGTTGTGTGTTGTTGCTGCTATTATTATTGCTGTTCTTCTTCCTTTATGCAAAGTAATGTTTATTTTTAGTTACACAAGTCCTTTATTTAGTTCAACAACAACAACAACGGTTAAAAACAAACTCATTCACTCACTCAGTTAAACACTCTCGCACACACAAATTTCTTTGCTCACATTCTCTTGCTCTCAATGGAATTTACTCAACATCACACAGAGCCAGCAAGACTATCATATGGTTTTCAGTTAGGTTGTAGGAAAGACAAGAAGAAGAAGAAACAGTGACATTTTCTCACAAGGCGTAGAAAAACAAAATATTATCTATTGTCTCTCCCTCTCTATGTGTGGGGTTACAATGGGAAAAAATAAACCGTATAACGTACTTGTTATTGTTGTTATTACTTTTATTTCATTTTTGTTTACAATAATAGAAGATGAAAAATACACTCCATTCTTTTTTAATAATAAAAAAATATTATATATTGGTAAGAAAATATCACTCACACAAACGCACACACACTCTCCTAGAAGTGTATTATGTCGTCTTTTCATCAAAATTTATCAAATCAATTGAATTGTAAATTCCACTTAGATTCGCCGCCTGCCACCAATTGGGAACTGTCTTAAGGTAATGAGATGTGGTTTGGTTTGATATGACAGCAAAAAGAGATCGATAAAAATTTGGTATCTTTAAAAAGAGGGGAATAAGGCCTTCTGGTGAAGATCATTTATTTATTACTAAGCTTTTTAGGCAGGTTAATACCAATTTTATTTGTAGATTTCATAAAAAAAGAGACTCTTTGAAAAATTAATTGAGAACTAAGAAGAGAAATAAGGCACAAGTTTTTCAGTTAATCTAAATCGTAAGATTTTAGATTTAAGGTATATTCATAAAAGAAATCAGATATATGTACAATTGACCTCTAGTTGATAATTGACCATAAGATCCAATTATTCCTCAGGATGAGCGAGGAAAACAGCGATATTTAATGGGTTATTGAACAATAAATATTAAATTAAGCTTTTGCTTATTCGACAGGGTTTGTACCGGAATGGGGATTTATACCTCCCATAACTCATGTTCTAAGATGGGCTATATCAGTCTTTCCACATTTTCCAACCGATTTTAACTTTCTGAAATTTGTATAGGTCCAGTTTTAACTAAATCCCCCCCTATAATATTACACTCTATTCGATATTTCGAGGACTTTTTATCATAATTTGGATTAGAAGATTGATTTACATACCTAAAACTATTGAATCATGGAGACATTTTGGGAATGTAGGTAGTAAACTTACCTGCCAAACCTTCGAAGAGGATTTTCAGAATTTTTTCCCTAATAATCTAAGCAATTTTATATTTCTGACCAACATGGCGGACACAAAATAAAGTTTGAAATTTTCAGCATATGTAAATTTTAGCAACACTTTCCAACATAACTTGCCGCAGTATAGGTCCAGGAGGTTTTGAGTATTTGGTTTGAGGTTTTGAGGTCTTGGGATAAAACCCACCATTACTATTCCTACCTCTCTTTAAAAGTTAATAACTTTATTGGAATTTAAAGCACTTCACTCATACAAGAACATTTTTTTCGGAATGAAATGGGGATTAAAGCCGGATATCGTACACTACCTCTTTTATGGTGTCAGGCGACTGACAAACGAACACTCTTACCCAAAATAAGCAGTGTATAGGTCTTGCTCCAGATAACTGGGACCCTCAGAAGTATACCTCAAGTTGCATGGAATATAATCCTTAATCTCCAACCATTGGACCTCCAGGTACAGTGCGATCCTCGCACTTTGAAGAATGCTAATATCCCTAGAA